AAATAATTATTAGTTATAATTTCGTTTGATGAGACCAAAATATCAACTGGGTGTTTGGAACATATCTTTACATAACCAACTTAAATATTACTAAAAAAAGTAAAAGCAATGCAAAAGCGAAGATATTGGTTTAATTTCCCATATTGAGTTATGTCAGAATCATATTAATAACATAAACTTTGAACAGTTTCATTGGCTCCAAAAATTTGAAGTAACCGATATCGCTTTACTTGTTATTGTCAATCATTTGAAAATTATATCGGCTGATTTAAAAGAAATATTATATGATTTAAAACAAATTGATTTTCTGACTGGATGACGCAACCAATGTTAGTGAATTTGTATGATATATCAAATATGTAGTATCAAGAAGGACTCGCTGAGTTTCAAAATGATGAGTTAGTTAAAACTTTATTCAATATCAAAGGATCGATGGCAAGTTTGTGAGGAAACAGCAATCAAATACCCAAATTCAACCAAATGTGCAATAAAACTATTTCTACTATTTCCTTCTTCATTTTTAGTTGAATGCGGATTTAGTTGATATAACACAATGTGGAGACTTTAGATTGAAGTGAACCAAATTGGAAACTAATATAAAACCTCTGTGCAGCAAGCATCAAACGCAAGGATCTCACTAAATTAAAATAATAAATTGTAATATTTATAGAAAAATCTTTATTAAAATTTTATTAAAATTAAGATTTTTCATTTTATATTTTGAAAATTTACTTACTGTGTTTCGTTAACAATTTCCTAGTAATTTCTTCCTAAAACCTATAATTTTAGTTCTTAAGTGAATAATTAAATTTTTTAATATTAAAAATTATGTTAACGGTGGTAGGGCCTCGCAGCAGCCTCGGCTGTTGCACGAATGGGCAGGCTCGCCCGGGTAAGTACCACGACCTCACAGAAGACCGTCGTAAAGTGGAAGTATAATACTTTCATGTTTCGTTTGGTGAGTGAGGTAGCCGTGAGGTAGCCACATTTCCAAAAAGGTTCTTAACGCATCTACAAGCCCTCGGGTGTACAGATGTCCATGGGCGGCGGTATTAACTTTGCGGCGGCAATTTTTCACATAAAAAAAATGTATGCTTTATAAGGGGGGTTATAAGAATTTTAGAAAGGCTAAGGTAAGGCATGGGATTGATGAAGGTTGGGAAACACTGCTATATAGTATAGTTTTTAAATAGGTGTATATATATATCTGCTTCAGCCGAAAGGTGACCCCTTCGCACTTAGCCAGGCTTCGAAGCTCGGCGGGAGCGCACTGACAACTCGTTGGCAGTGCGCTCCGTGTCTCTTCACCCTTGTCTTTCACCCGCTCACGCTAAACATCCAGTACCCGTGTGCGCTCCTGTTTTCGCACCACGTGAAGAACGGAGGAGAGTATAGACTCGCGCATCCATTTCTGCCAGAATGTCCAGTGGAGGAAATCGAGCTAGGAGAGTCCATTCTCCCTAAAGGACTGAATACAGAGCGAGATATTTGAAGTCGGTTTTGTTTTTCGTTAGTAAAAAAATGGTTATTATTCATAGGTAAGTAAATTGAAAGTACTAATATTACCTGAACGGCTTTAATTTGCTTGTGATTAAATTGTAATTTCGACATTTTTACTTAACATTCCATTATACATTGCGGTCCAAACCAAATGTCTACTTCCATTTGAGGGACCCCTAGTTTTCGAGAGTGTTCGATTATCGTGGCGTCATGCACGAGTTACGTTGTTCTGATTCCGCGAGTGATCTGCATATGGAACTCTACCACCAGAGCTGTCAGAGCTAAAATAATTCACGATTAAAACTTATTTGAAATCCAGATTGATATTGTCTTTAATTTAACCAAAGTCGCCAATTATACTTGTACTTTATTTTATGAAATTCGACGAAAATATGTTACTCTGTAATATTCATTGATATGATACTCACGCTCAACTGGATGTTTATTAATATCAAATAATTTGATTACACAAAAGAATAGTAATCACTGATTAGTTTTTTAAATATTATTAAATTATAAAAATATTATTAAATAATGATTATTTATATTGTGTTTTTATTCTGTATTGAAATTGCTTATGTTACTTCCGGACATATGTTTGTTTGTTGTTTGACGTAAGGATCGTAAACTTGCAATATTCGCGCCAAAAACTGTATATTAGGAAAACTAATTTATTCACAATTTTGTTTCACCAGTTTATCAAAAAAGGTAAGTAAAAGCTTGTTGTGTGTTATCATCATGCCTGTTTCACATTTTAATCAAACTTTTCCTAATACTTTGTGTAATATGATAATTTAGAATAATTTTTATAGCATACAGTGTTACCAACATTGAGATACACATCATGTCGAGTGCAAACGCTACATGGATTTCATGTTTTGTATTTGAATACATTATATTTATCATTAATGTTTGGCAATAATCAGTGCATAGACTTCTTAATTTTGTTTTTGTTGCAATGCTGTTAATAAAATCGCATATATTTGACTGATGTTCAAAATCGATTTAAAAAAATGGTTACTTCTACTAAGGTACCTGACCAAAAGATTGTGAAGATGGCAGAACAGAATAACAGTGCTGTTGTACCTCAGAGAACATTATTAGGAGAAGTCAACGAACACATAACGTGTACCTTATGCCAAGGTTACTATATTGACGCGACCACAATAGTAGAATGCTTACATTCCTTTTGTCGCAGTTGCATTATTAAACATTTGCAAGTGAAAAGTTATTGTCCTGTGTGTGAAATGATGATAAATTCGGCTAAACCTAATATTAAACTTGACAAAGCTCTTCAAGACATTGTTTACAAATTAGTCCCTGGTCTCTTTCAAAAAGAAATGGAAAGACGACAGCAATTTTACGCTTCAAGACCTGGTCCTGCTGCTTCTGCTACGCCTGAGCAACGAGGCGAAGACACTGAAAGAATTATCTTCAGTCCTGAAGATGTAATATCCTTTTCATTAGAATATGCTGACATCACAGATGCTGACAGTATCTCAAGCAAATCATCTGATAGTAATGAGCCTCAAAATAATTTAGTATCTGCTAGACGATATTTACAATGTCCAGCTGTTGTTAATATAAACCATTTGAAAAAATTTCTAAGTATGAAATTTGATATAGATAGTTCACAGTTTGCTATAGATATTTTGTATAAACGAGTTCCTCTGCCTGATTACTATACATTGATGGACATTGCCTACATTTATAATTGGAAAAGAAATGAACCCATGAGATTTTTTTATCAAATCATTGATTATATTGCAATTCGTAATAGACTATTTGACATTAATAGGAAAACTACCCATTTTCCTGAAAGAAAAGCAAGTCCTACATCAACTGAGGAAACAAATGTCAGCAGCCCTGCCCCCAACACAAATGAGCAGGGTTCAGAGGTTTCTTCAGGGACGGATAGCCCTATGCCTGATGATATTAAAAATAGTAATAGCTCAATAAATAAAAGTGTTATTAACAGTCAGGTAGAAAAAGAAGGTAGTGGTATAGATAGTCCTAGTAACAACAAGTCTACATGTAATTCTCCTGTTAAGAAAAATGATGATGAGGTTGAAAAATCACAATTTTTAAACTCATTCGAATTGACAGCAAAGAACAGTAGTTTAAATCTGAAATTTTCTCCTACTAAGATTCATCCGGATCCTGCCATTACTGCAGAAAGTACATCAAAAAGTAATATTTCAAAAATCGATGACACCTTGAAAAGAAAACAGCCCCCCTCTTCAAATATTCCAGAAATGAAAAAGCTGAAAATAGAATTGGAAAAGGCTAAGATACCTGTTATTTCAGCATCACAGTCTACTGTTCAATCATCTAAAGAAACTGTAAGAATTGATAAATCCTCAGATAATTGTGAAAAGATTAAAGAAAGTACTGAATCAGCAAAAGGGTCACAGGTATCTCCAATCACAAATAATTCAACAACTAATACCATTACTAATTCAACACCCAAAGACATTAAACAACAACAAGCTGCACCGGTAGTTAAACCCCAGATACCGGATAATGTAGGAATAAAAAGAAATAATGTTGGATTACAAAATATGACATCACCTAAACGAAAGCCAAATGAAATGCCTTTACAGCAAACATCTACAGTGCCCAAAACAGTATCTCCGTTGAAACTGCATATTCCAAGAATAGAGGCACAGTCATGTGCAAAATTATCTGAGGTTCCTAAACCAATTATTAAGAAAATGCCAGAGTTAAAACCAAGTACAAGCATAACTTCCACACCTTTCCAAATTAAAGTCCCACCAGTTAATAAACTGCGTATGGATTTACTTGCAAATAATAGTGATCCAACTATAGACAGAAGCAAAATATTGTCACAAGTTAAATCATCTTTATCTTTGCCAAACACTAGTCAAACAACATCAGGAGATCCTTTAAAATCTTTGTTTGACTCTTGTAAAATTAACATACCATCTTCATTGTCAATTACTTTAACAGATCAAAAATTAGAGAATCGAAGTGTTTCAGAATCAATTGCTACAGATCAGAAAAAGGGTGTGGTTAATAAAAATCTCTCAAGTGCATCTAATATATCTGCACATAAAGTACCAAGTCCACCAGTACATAATTATATTGAAATACTGAAATTGCCTGAAACCGATCCAAAGAAAGTTAATAAGCCAGAAAACAGTAATGATGTAAAAGTAACGTCATCAAATAAGAATGAAAATATAATGCAATCAAAACCTATTACGAAATCTTCAGAAACATCAGCAAAGGGTCCCATACCTAATCTTAAACCAATTGCAGATACAAAACTAGTAAAACAGAGTGGTTCTTTTTCAGCACCAATCACTTTTCAACAAACTTTTGAGCAACAGTTACAATCCTTGCAGACAGATAAGAAAACAAAACTACCCAAAAATAAACCTCAAGTACCAAAGCTTGTACCGGCAACACCAAAAGCTTTTAATGTTGCGAATAAGCTAAGTGTGCCAAACAAACCAACATTGAGTAATATGCCGTCAATGGAGAATAAAACAAATGCTGCATTAGATTTATCCACTCCTCATAATGTTCAAAGTCAGTTGGGCCCACAGCAAACAAAGGCATTTGAAACAATGCAGTCGATTGCAAATCTAGCCAAGAAACAAGGGTTGCCATCAAAATCGTTAGCTCTAACTGCATCACAGGCTAATGTTTTCTCTACAATGTCTAATAGACCTGCGAACACAGTGAGCTCTCCTCTTAGAGTTCCGTCAAGTAGTGGAATAAATCAATTGAAACTTGATAAGACAAATCCAGTAGGACCATCAGCAACAACCATTAGACAAGAAATGCCTAGCAGCAATAAACTAAATCAAATGAAATCAACCAATAATCCTAATACACCAATTCCCAACGTGGGTTATCCAATATCAGCTCACAATTCTCAAAACACAGCGCAACCTTCACCAAGATCTCAGACACGATCCCCAAGTTCATCTCCCAAGTTAGTGATAGCCGAAGAGAAACAATCCACTAATAATTCTATGGAGCATAATATTAATCAATCAAATCAAATATCAAGTACACAATTGTCAAATATTAATACAGCCAAAAGTGAGTCACCTAAACCTGGTCCCTCAAAAGCAATGAAACCATTAATACCTGCAGGAAAAGTGCCTGGTATCAGGCAACCAATTACTCCAACAATTAAGCAAACCTCTAGCATGAACACACCTGCAGATTACCTTAGTCAGGCACCATTACTTTCCACACATCCTGGTATAACACATTTATTAAGACATCAAATGGAAATGCAGACAGCGTGGTTCAAAGCTCAAAGACAATATGATCTATTTAAAAACATGTCAAATATGGGCCATCAGAACCAAAATGATTTTAATAACAAAGATAAGCAATAGCTTCTAAGTTGTTTTATTTTCATTGGTAATTGAACATACAGTTAGATTGTTCATATGGTGGAACTACTTGTGATTATATTTAAGAGATCTTATTTTAATATTACATTATTTTCTTAAACTGTTTTGTTAATATTAAGGTGTTTACTTGATTTGTGTGGAAGGGGTTGGTACTAAGTCTTAACAACCATTGTAACCTAGATGATATATTGCAGTATAAGGTGTTCACTTACACATGTCTCAAATTTATGAGGCTATTAAAGTGAACATGGAGTCTTGATTGTATGTTCTTATATTATTCCATATTCACTTTAATTATTTTAATTACAAACAATATAATAACTACAAATGTGAAATATTTTTGCAGAATGTGCCTATTTATGTTTTGGTAAAAATGTTAAGAATACATATATTAAAGTATAATTCATTTAACTCAATTTTAATTTCTTTATTGTATAATATAATTTTAAATAACTTGTGTTAATTTATATTAAAAATAATTACTATTTAATTAATAAAGGTTTTTTCCCCATGATAATGTTGTTTTTATGTCCTATTTTATTATTATAGTCTAACGTCTTGGGATTGTCTCCATATATTTATATTATTCATTATTAGTTATATTAAACCACCATTATTTTATTATTCTTTATCCTAATTTGCTTGGACAATGACAGTCTTTGCCACAGGTAAATTAAATAATTTTTAAACAATATTTTTTGTTAGCATTTTATTAAGACTTATTTTTTTTACAGATGTCTGATGTCCAGGCTACTATTCCTTTTAAACCAAAGAAAAAAGTTAATGTGAAACTTAAGAATGAAGTCTCCAATGAAGACAATGATATTCTTAGTGGTGGTAAAATTATCTTACCCAAACGGAAATTAAGGGGACATAAAAACGAAGATGACAAGAAACAAGGTAAAGATTTGCATTTTAGGCAGTGTTATATTGTAATTTTGAAGTCTAATTTTTGAAGTTATACTTCTTTATGTGAGTTATGAAAACAAGATGAGAGTGGAATTTTAAGATGCCCGCGCATCAGTGTAACACAAAAGTCACACCTTTGAAGCTGCCCGGTAAACCGCTTATTTTTTTATAGGTGGCATAATTCTCTTATAAACTGTGATTCATCTAATATGGAATTAATTGCCTTAGGTGAGCCGGTGTCAGTTTATCCAAAAGAAATAGTTGTAATGATATTGATCAGTCTGCTCATAGGCATTTCTCTTCGCCACCATTAATTTTATTTAAAATCTATTTCGCATTTTCCTTAGGAGAAGTTATCACCGAGGATGTGAAGAAATAAGTTAATTCTATCACAACAGAAACGGATAATGACGAATATGTTTGACAGTGATAACAATGATAAGATCACACACATTTTTAATTTCTCATTTGATTCCTCCGTTTTTCCGTGGAAATTTGGGCATATAATCTCTTTATAAGGTTATGAATGCTGTATGAAAGGAAACGAATGGTATGGTGTTAGAATAAACCCGATTAAAAGTCAGGGTCTCATTCCATATGGTGGTGAGAAATTTAGGTGTTACTTTTGATAATGGACTATTTTGGGAAAAGCATGTAAACGATATAAGCCATAAGGTTCACTTCACATTCCACACACTGATGTTTGATACTAGCGCTTATTATGGCGATCCTAGATTACGCAGATATCTGCTATTTGGATGTCATCTAGGAGCTTTTGAATAAACTTGAAAGTTTTCAAAATTCGAGTATTCGATACATCTACGGGCTCAAAAAATTACATCGTCTCAGAATTTATTAAACAGCTGAAATGGCTTTCTATTAGTTTTCGTAGGAACACTCGGATCATTCGTATGAATTTAACGTTTTGCATAGCTTTGTGTCGTGTTCGTGGGTTTGGTTCCCATACGGGACAACTATTTGTGTGACATACAGATAGTTTTTTCGCATCTGGGTGTTTGTCCGCGTGAGAATGATTGTAAAACGTCCTTACAACACAGGATAAGAAAAAAAAGAACAAAAGTCTGTCACCAAAAATTTATTAAGAAAATGCCTTTTCATAAAACCTACTATTTCTCCTTACTACTATAGTCCTCTTCTGTCCAGTGTGAGATTATGGAATTCACTACCTTATAAAATAAGAGATGCTGCAACTTTCTTCTTTTAAGAAAGTCTTCTTCTTCTTCTACCTGGCATTAATCCCGGCTATTGCCAGGGTCTGCCTTCCTACTTAAACTCCTCCACTTTGCCCGGTCTTCGACATCCTCAGGGGCCAGTCTAGTGGCTCTCATGTCCTCTTTCACGATGTCCAGCCTTCGCTTCCTTGGGCGTCCAGGGGGTCTAGTTCCTGGGACAGGTATATGAAGACCAATTCCTTCCGACATAGTTTTCCTATTTCATATTCTTTAACTACTTTCTTCTTTTAAGAAAGTGGTTAAGGACTATCGTTGTCGTAAGTTTCTAGATAGCTGGCAATATATGTATAATACATCTTCATGTATTATTTGATATATTAAATTGTATTGTACACCAATTGCCGTCTTACTTGCAATTTTCCATTTACATCCTGAAGTGCCTTTGTGCTAACATTTATTTGATGAACTTTTATGTTTGATGTGTCAATTTGTGCATAAATAAATAAATTATAAACGTTTATATTTCTTTTTTTTCCAGGTTGTTCACCAACCAAAGTTGCAAAAGTAGTTGAAGACTATGATGAAGAAGTTAATAAGGAAAACTCAAATGATGGGTGAGGATCAATGTTTCTTTGAGAGTTGAACTTGAATTGTTTAATAGATTTTTTTTCGTTCTATTATGTTTATGAATTCCCAGCGTTACGAATGTTTTTCACGTGGGTAGGAAAGCCACGGGAACCTGTAGTGATCATGAACGCTTTACAGTGTTTGAGGCGTTGGCAATTTAAAAACAAATAGTACAAGATAAAATGTATACAATAGATTTTTATAACCATGTGTAGTATTCGCGAATATGAAAGAAATTATCTATCGAAAGTTATCGTTTTGATAAGTATTATACATATCAAAACAATATATATAAATTAGGGCACTAACTCCTTAACAGTGACTACACCCGTCCTTATTTAGGGCCCTAACTGTTTAAGTAAGGACTTAGGGCAATTGTGACTCGTGTAGGGCCCTAACTGGCTTACTTCGATTACACATGTCCTTACCCTAACTGAAAAAGGGCCCTATTTTTTGTATATTCTTTAGTGAATGTGAAAGATGATACTGAAGGAGATAGCAGACTAATCAATTACAACAATTGCCGTAATTTGAGTGCCTCAGTTTCGGCGTTCTAGTGTCATATCTCCTTCGTATTTGTATATACGAGGGTACAAAATATCGAGTGGACCGTATGAACGTTTCTCATCACTGTTAAAAATTGTAATATACCTTAGAGAGAATGAACAACGTCAACTTTGAACTAAATTTACCACCGTGCTGTGAGTCGAATTTCAAATTTAGATCTAAATGTAGGTACTCCTTATCCTCCAACAACTTATGTCCTTAACATGTAATGGAGTAAGCACAGGATATACACTTTTTTCGAACTAAAAACTTATAATTTCTGGCGGGTGCTATCTTTAGGAATTTGAATATCAAATAAATACTCTAAATTGTGTATTTAATTTACAGAAGTTGCAATATTAATAATTCACTGAAACCATTAGTTAGTCGTGAAAACGAGATCACGTGGCTCGAGAATTTTCTAATGGACTGTCTAGACAAGGAGGAATCTGCATCTTTATATATATCTGGACAACCTGGTACAGGAAAGACGGCAAGTTTGACGTACATTTTAAATTTACCAAAGGTAATAAAAACCGACGTGATTTCAGCGATGTGTGCTGCATGTGAAATTCTCATATTGATTGGAATTCTTTACTTTTAGATTAAACATGGATATAAACAAATTTACCTTAATTGTACAATGATGAAGTCTGCATCGGCAATTTACAGTAGAATTTGTAAAGAGTTGCAAATACGAACATCGGGCACAACAGAGAAAGCCAGCCTCGGCGCTATCGAAAAATATTTCAACAAGAAACACAAAATGATGTATGTATTCATTTCACTTATACTATTTTACATTAAGCTTTAATTCCCTTTTTGCCTTATATATAGTTATCTTCCTTAAAGGTAAAATATACGTAAGTTAATAATGGTAAATATGTATATCGTATTATGTTTGCATTGCAGAAATAAAGAATTATTTAAAGATGAGTTGCATTAGGTTCCATTTATCTCCCATATTGCCTTGGACTCTAGAAATTCATCGGGATACTCCTCAAAATCAAGTAGAAAATGTATAATGAATGTGATATTAAGAAGCCGGTTATGCTTTTTGCCATTAAAAATGTTTTCCGTATCCGTAAAAGTGCCTTTACAAATTCGTCTTCCGGCCTCTTAATTATTGATACAATCTAATTTATATAATTATGGTCGCCACTTTTCATGCATGCTTCTTCAGGATAACTCGATGAATGGCACCGAGTCGACTTTTCACTTCGTGCAATAATTGCAACATTTAAGACATCGTTCAAAAGACTGGTTCGTGAACATTTGCTAAAGACAACTTTGACTTAATAAATAGGTTAATTACGTTATTAGTGACTAATCGAACAATCGCAATGTTTCCAGGCTGCTCGTGCTGGACGAGATCGATCAGCTGGACAGCAGGCGGCAGTCGGTGCTGTACACGGTATTCGAATGGCCGGCGCAGTTCGCGGCGCGCGTGGTGCTGGTGGGCGTGGCCAACGCGCTCGACCTGACGGAGCGCACGCTGCCGCGGCTGCAGGCGCGCTGCTCGCTGCGGCCGCGCACGCTGCACTTCGCGCCCTACTCCAAGCAGCAGATCGTCGACATATTCGTGTCCGTGCTGGCCGGCGAGGACCGGAGCCAGGTGTTCTCGCCCGTCGCGCTGCAGATGCTCGCCGGTTCGTGCCCGATTCGCACAGTTCACGCTTAAGGCCATAATTTTTAACAAAAAAAAAAACGGATTCCAAACCGGAGACTAAACAACATTGTTAATAGCTATAGCATTTGAGGTTTCCCTCGATTTCTCTGGGATGCTATCATCAGATCCGGGTTTCCTTATTATGGTACCACCCTTGGGATAAATCCTTTCCAACAAAAAATAATCATCAAAATCGGATCATAAGTGACGAAGTTATCCGCGAACACACATTAAAAATATATATATACGGTTGAATTATGTCTTTTTAAAGTCGGTTAAAAAATAATCCGGCTCAGTCCGTGTGCTCTTCGATTATGACAAGTTGCTGTTAGACTTCAACTGTAAATCGGTAGGCGAAGTTATGTACTTTTTAGTTTTAGTTTTTAAATATTTAACATTTCCCTTACGTATCTTAGGATGCACATTTTCACACACGTCAAAAACGCCGTGAAAGAATTATCTGTGGCGCACACAAATAATTGTCAAAGTATGTGATCAGATAATTGGCCAAGCCGTGGAAGATAGAAATTTTATAAGGCTTTTTTATGAGGATATTCACTGCAAAAGTCACGTTGACAAAAAAAACGTTTGAGAATACTATACAAAACATTGATGAAGATGAAAAGATGCATTTTATATTAGTTATTGAATTTTAAATTTCTTTCAACATTTGATTCTTGATTTCAGCTAAAATCGCCGCCGTTTCAGGGGATATGCGAAGAGCGCTTGACATCGGGAAGAGAGTTATCGAATTGGCTAAACGCAACAAGTTCCCAGAAAACCAATGTGTTGAAACAATTATGAGAGATTCAAACGTGACTGTAGAACTGAAACAAGTGTTAGAAGTATTAAACGATGTCTATGGCGGAGGTAGAAAAATAGAAAACGATGTTGAGGATGGCTTACCAATGCAACAGAAGTTGGTGCTGTGCAGCATTTTGCTTATGTTAACCAAAGGAAAAAGTAAGGATTTAGTCATGGGGAAATTACATGACGTCTATAAGAGGTAAGAAACTTTTTATTCATTCATGTTATATTGTTGAAAACACCATGTTATAAACAAAGTGTCCAAAACCATAATAACGTATCGTCTGTATGTAAAAAACGGTAGCTTAGGACTTCCTATGAGGCTATTTATAAGTATAACAAGTAAACATAGTAAAGCAAATGCCTCTTTTGTTATATCATAGTTTTATCATTAAGTGGTTCTTTTCCCATATTTAAGACTATTAAAGCTCCATCGCACAACTTGTGGAAAAGCAAAAGGACACATACATGAACGAAGCATGTGCTCATGTATGAGTCCATCTAGTGCCTGGGAATGTCACCTACGGCGCTTTGAGGTTCGCTATGAAGGTTTCGTAGTCGCCGTCGAACTAATTGGTGTTGTATGCTAGCACTATGTGTGCGTATAGAGTTGTCGGGCGTTAATTACTCGGTCCGATGTTTTTATGTCCCCTTTCTTGACCGTGTCGTCATCGACACCACGTCCTCATGGACGTGTTGCGGGCTAACGGTCGGTTTAAAGTCAGGTTTTTAATTCGCTACGCTTAGCACCAGACTATTTGAACGATGAACCGTTTGGCTCGCTCTCTGTCTCTTCACTCAACTGGAGTCTGCAACCGCTGTGCAGGTTGACGATAAGGTAGTGGCTTCGGCTCCGGGGGCCTTGGGTTCGGTTCCGACGCGAGGCAACTATTTATGTGACCCTCAGATAATTGTTTCGGATCTGGGCGTTCGTCCACGTGAAATTTATGTATATAAAACGACAACACAGTATAATGTTACCGCACAGAAAATTGCCTATGAGACTTAGTACCCAACCCCTTTCACACAAATCGAATACTGTTATCAGGGTGGCTTCGGCGCGCAACATAGCGCCGCTAGACATAGGCGAGATGGTGAGCGCATGTTGCCTGCTGGAGGCGCGGGGGGCGCTGCGCCTCTGCGGGCCGAGCGGCCGTTTGCGTCGCGTTCGTCTCAATTGGGACGAAGCCGAGCTCGTAGCGGCCTTGCGCGACAAGCCTCTCCTGTCCGCCATTTTGAACGATGTCGGTTGCTTATCCTCCAATTAGCGCGATCACTCTGCCCATAGAACTGCTCATTATGTATTGTGTAATGATTTTTTTAAAGTTTTTTAGGTTCTCATTGTTTGGTAATTTATAAAATGACGTTATAAATGTGCTGTTTTACATCTATGATAAATCGAAGTTGGTATTAAATGATATTTCTAGTGTTTTTAGAATTATGTACTTTATGTAATATCGAAAACCTTTTGTATGAATCTGTGCCTTTAGACGTAATTGTAACTATTACATTAATTAAGACTTTGCTACCATGTTATGGATACAACACTGTTATTATAAAAATTCACAAAATTTTTCATGTTACAGTCCTTTATAAACAATGTCTAATTTAATAACTATTTGCAACACTTACCGAATTCAAATGTGCAGATAAAAGCACTATTGTAGCATAAGACTGAATTATTGAATAAATGATAGTAATATAGTATGTAAAAATATATATAGTAATATAAAAATGAATCGCTGAATTTGTTCCTAAGCGCATATCTCGAAAAATCTAAAAAATTGTCTGAAAAAATCTAAAAAAAAAAACACTTTTCTATGTTCCCGTACAAAAGATTCGTAATAATACTTAAAAGTCAATTTGAACTTTAATACCATACCATAAAGCTTAAGTGTTAGTGGAGGGGTTCCGAGAAGGCAAAACAAGTGAGTGACTGTGGTAATATGTCACTTGAAATGTAAACGTTTCTTTGCTGTGCTAGTATAAAATAAAGTCATCTCGCTGTCTGTCTGTCTCTATATATGCTTAGAACTTTAAAACCAGCATATGCAAAGATATTCGGTTAAACTTATTTTTAAGTATTGCAAAAGACATGATTAAGTTTTCAGTACTTAAAATATGCAATTAATGAAAATACTGGCATTTTTTTATTAATATTGTGAATGGTTGAAATGCTGTTCCAAAGAATAGGATATAGCGAAAATTTTTATTTTTCTTGCAAATGTTATGTTAATTGTGTTCATTTCCAACATTCATTGCTAAAATAAAGTGAATAAAATGCTAAGGTATGCGAACAATCTTTAATTTAAAAATATAAAATGTAATTATGAGTTTATTGTTATCTGCATTGATATTTTTCTACTTTTACATATATTAAGGAAATATTTATATTTCTTTTTTTCTGTGTACCTTTTAAATCTTTTATTATTTATATTGTTTTTGTTAATTTATTTGAACACAGCTTCATTATTCATTTATCATATCATATTCTTCTTAACAATGTTTTTATAGAATAAGATAAATATAAAATAACAATAATGTTTTTTACACAATAATACTTTTACATTTTGCCTTGTTTAACCTTAACTGTATGGTATGTTAAAGTTTTATTAAAATGTGTGAATAAACTGACGAGTTCGGACCTGAGTAATTTTATTTTAAATTAAGTAGATAAAATGGTATGTTTGTAAGATCAGATGATATTGTTGAAATTTTCCATTTAAATATTTATAAAATTGAGCAATACTTTAAAGACCAAATACTCCTTTCCATATGTAATAACTATAAAAGCGTGTAATGTTTAAAAAAGTTTGAATGTAAATAACCTCAAAGTTAATGCTTAAGGCCATCATTCTACTTCTCTCTTGTAACATTAGTTATCTGCAAGTAACTTTCTAAAATAAAAATATATAATTGATTGAAGCGTCTATTTTAATAAACATATTTTGAATTTGAAATAACATGTGCATGGTAATTACTGTCAATACCTCACAAAGTTGCAGACCAAATTTCTTGCTTTTAGTTTTTCTCTTAAGTGGTGATTGAGATCTTCAACTAAGTCAAAGATTCTTCGAATAGTGCTGTTGGACAAAGGTACTTTGGAAATCAATGTTCCCACTGATAATAATTTAATTTATATATTTATGTATATAGATATACTTATATATAGTTCAGATATGTACATATCTGAACTTAATATAAGTATAATATAGGTACATAGAGCGTAAATATTTAAAAGTCGAATGCTATATAAACGCGTCAATGCGTTTGCATTGTTGTCATCAAAAGCATTCGATTACGCGCTAATAAGTATAACTTCAATAATAAAATCTGTTTCCTAGTAAACTAAAACTGCCCCGTCTTTTAAAAGGCGCCTTCACATTTTTTTTATATTAAAATAATTCGGGAGATCTCTTGTCATTTTCTACCTTTGGGCCGGCGCTCAGTACGAGGTACGCTACCCACAGCACTTCCTACGCGTTGTCACGGAGACTCTTGTTGACAAGGAAGCCTTCGCCACCCTGAGACTGTTTGTCGCCCTCTCTTAAGTAGAATAGGTGCCGGATTCTCCCGTTTTCGGACTTCAGACAGCCCCAGATGTGCAACCTTATCACTAATAGAAAACAAAGTCGTCCCTCTGTCTGTCTGTTTCTATGTACTCTATGGTTAGATCTTTACAACTACGCAACGGATCTTGATGCGGTTTTTTACTAGATAGAGTGATTCAAGCAGAAGGTTTATATGTATAATACATTGCACCCGTGCGAAGCCGGGTCGGGTCGCTAGTGTTTTATATTTCTACATTCCCGGTGCACGGTGTACAGGTGAGGTTGGATTGGCTTTTTTATGTGATAAGTTGCCAAGCGAGCAGACGGTTCACCTGATGTTAAATGAATACCGACGCCCATGGACATCTGCTAAACCGAGAGTTCAAGATGCGTTGACAACCTTTTGAAAAAGAGTTCAGAGATAAAGGTTGGCAAAAAACCAGACTCAGAATTTAACTTTAGAACACCCGACGTCATTTCAAACATTTTTTAAACATCATTATATCGGGTTAATATATTTGCGGAAATATCATCTATTATTCTAGCCTAACTGTTAGCTGACTAAAAAATAAAGTCATTTCTTTAACAACTGTAATCATGCAACCCTTAATTAATTGAGCGTTCAAATGTTTCGCTATTGAATGGTCCTCACGGATATGCCTTGTCGCTTCTTACACTATAAAATACATCACTTATTAATATATAACACTTATTAATACCGTTTTTTAAAGATTGATATTTCACCAAACGTAGGCTTTCTCTACACCCGAGGGGTACAGATGCGTTGACGACACTTACTAGACGAAACGCGAAAGTATTTTTCATACTTCCACTTTACGCTGGTCTTCTGTGAGGTCGTGGTACTTATCCGAACGGGCCTGCCCATTCGTGCAACAGCCGAGGCTGCTGCGTGGCCCTACCACCGTTGATTTCTTAGAATATTTTACAATTGACATTTATTTTACTAAGAATGCTTCGATTCCATTAACTTGCAAATATATAGGGTGATTTTTAGACGAAGTACATAATTTGACATAATGTTAATTGAGCATTCCGTAATTCAAAAAAAATATTTATATTTTATTTTGACAAGAAATAACCAGAAAAATATCAATTCAAACATTGTTTGTTTATCCCGTTAAGAGTGGTCAGCGTATTCATAAGCGGATTAGTAACGCGTTCAGCGAATAGTTTTAATGCTCGTGAATAGGTATTGTATTGAGACGGTAAGGCGGGAATTTCTAATTTGTCCATGTATGAAAAACTAAAAATAATCTTGAAACAAAAAATGAGGTCACAAGCACGTACCAGATTCAGATTTAGAATCAAATTCTGCGTATATGTCTCTGCTAATATGTCCGTCGTCTATAAAATCATCATGTATACATATTATATCATGTCGGATATATACATATTATACCATGTCAGCGGTGGTACATTAAAAAGTTTAGATTACATTTCTTATCTTATCATTTAAACGAGCAATTCTTGTGGTTGGTCGGTAATCGGGCGGCCCCAAAACAGACGGCCGTGATTCGTATCACGATCATTTACACACTTATTTTTTTTACTTTTTTTTCTATACCAGATCATCTTCTTTATTTTTTTTTTAATTTCCAAAATACATAATTTACAAAAAAAAACCGAGAGAACCGAGAGTCCTCCAGGTACTCTTAATTAAATCCATAGGATTTTAAGAATAACTCAGTGTGGCCTTATACAAAAAAATTTGGAGACGTATGTATAAGACCATTTTAGTTATACAGTCGATTATGTGATTATGTGACATTCAATAACCGTCGAAATGCTTTTTCTTATTTTTTTCTTTGTTTATATAAAATATTTATTTAAAATGTGATAGGTTTCACAATAGTATTTTTTTAATATGAGAATGTGGTCAACAAGCTGGCGGCAACGTCAAGTTATTATACTTTTCATCTAATGAGTGAGGTAATCGGGTACAAATATTTTAGATGCGCCTTCAGCACCTTAGGTCTTACAGATTAGGAATGTTACGGAGCTCCGTAACCGGAACTATCCGAAATAACAGAAAAATCCAAAAAGATTTCATGTCCATAACTATTACCGAAACCGGTATGATATTATCCACAACCCTATTGAAGATGTATATGGGTGGCGGTAATCAAAGGACCAAATAAACAAATAATCTGAAAATCGAAATCAATAATAAAATCCGTTTTCTTATACTAAAATGTGAACTAATATAATAAATTTTTCGTAGTTAGATTAAGCATGTTTAATTCAGGTCAACTAAATTTCATCTCCCCTCCGACCAGGTTCCCGCCTGTTCGTGGCGGAGGGACTTATTAGCCGCCTGGGCCACCTGCACCACAGGTAGAGCCATTCTCCCTGTTCTTTGGAACCGAGGTGGAGTAGCAGGGGAGGAGCAGTACTTGTATTGCGTTTGCCCACTCTTCCTACACTTTGCGACTCGGCGAGGCTGCTCCGCTGATGCAGCAGTAGCCGCGGGGCGAGAGGAGTGTTAGTATTGTGATGCGCCATCCTCCCTTCTCTCGGCTTCGACTGCGCTGCCGAAACGTGGTAACCGGCATAGCGTCAGACAAGGTACGGCGCTAGGGCGGCGGGAGGTTGCATTGGCACATTTGGACTCGGCTTGGTTTCGAATTCTGAAGTCTATTGCCTGAGCAAAAGGGGCCGAATAGAAAAGAGGAAAGGTATGTTGTTTCTCGACAAGTGCTGTTGATCCGGCCACTGGTAGAGTCGCGGCAGTGTGCAAAAGCGTTCCCATCACCCTGCCGATATGCTGTGGATTGGGATCGTGGTGATTTTTAATTGGTGCGTGTCCGACGTAACCTGTTCTTGTCGTTGTAATATTGGATTTTTGCAGAAATCATTATTCGCCAAGTACATGTTGGACATAAGATTGATTAGGAGCTGTATAATAACTATTTTGCAACCAAATATAACTGTTCTCAGACTCGTTACTTACGTGTTCCATTAATATATGGCACACATATTTATTAGTAACATTAGTTACAAGGTGAACTTTCTTTGCTTATTGAATAAGGAAACTTGTTTAATGGAATGTGTATAGAGCGTTAACTCAGTAATAAGAGCGGAATTTAAATGTTTATAATCCATAGCGTAGTAGTAAGTACATTTCAACGTAATTTCTAGGTATAGATATTTCACCTAATGGCGTGGATGTTGCAAAACCAATGACAAATTAGTTTAATGTGGACAGTGGCACGTCAGTGCCTGAGGTAAAGGTTGTGTATACGCGGGGTGGTCAAAAAGTGCGCAGAATGGCAAGGAAAGAAAATTAAATTAATCCCAAATTTACTTTTCCTTTTCAATGCGTGGGTCAGACTGAAAGTTCTTAGAAAATAATAAAAAGGCCCAATGGAAAAAATTACCAATACTTTCATTGTTATTCAAAGCAGTCTATAGCATATAATTATGTATCTAATGAACCGTGATGGTTAGAGGGTTGGAATTTTCACAAATGATGTATTTTTTTTCCGCTATAACAACAAATACTAAAAAATAGAATAAAAAATATTTAAGCAGGGCTCCCACACAAATGACATAATTGTTTTGCCGTTTTTATAGACAATGGTACGGAACTCTTGGTGCGCGAGTCCGACACGCACTTGGCCGGTTTTCATGTACTATGTCCTAATACCCTGTAAGGAAGGCTATGTCCAGAAGTGAAATAATTATATAGGCTGTTACTTTACGTACTTCTTTTCTTTTCTCACACATAAGCGAGTCTTGGTGTTTCAGGTTTCTCATGCATTAAGCATATTGTCCAATAAGTAGGTATGTTACTTATTTTAGATTCTCACTTAAAAAAATAAAATTGACAAGTTTTAGCATATCTAAAATATGGTACTTAGCTTCTGTATGTCTTTTAAGAGTCTTGTTCGCAAATAATGTAGATAAAAATATCCTTATTTCTATTGTGTTTAGCCAATAAAAATCGTTTTTCATTATTATTACTTTATTCTATTTCTTAAAGTTAATCCTACTTTGTGCAAACAGCTTTTTACAATAAAGAATTACTGACCTATTTCCAAAAAATATTGTATTGTGATGATATGTATTCGAAAGAGTTGGAAGTAAAATTCTTTTTATATGAGTTGTCATATATTAATTATACACGTCGTTAGCTGTCCAATAAATGAAAATAAGATTATTTAAATAATAAATAACTTAAAAGATATAGTCAATTTTGTACAATGCCTGCCGTCTAAAATAATAGAAGGCGATAACGTGCTGCAATAAAAAGTTAGTTTTCTTATATACGAAGGCCTGGATTTCTGGAACGGACGAAGTTGAGTAATTCGTCGCTGTCTTCACAGACGAATGGCTTCACATGGTGACAGGCAACGTCGTGCCATTTAATTCCGTCGTTGTAGAAGTTGTTGAGGATAGACAGGCAGGATTCGTCATTACCCTTAAGAAAATAAGAGGAAAAAGATTTAAGGAATTATAGTATTAGATAGTAAGCTTAGCGGTGAAGGAAATTATTGTGTGGAAACTAACATATTTTCGAAATAATAAGAAAAAAATGAAGATGTGTGAAGTCCGTCAATCCGCAGTGGGGTTTTTTTTTGACTTAATAAAAATGATTAATCTAGATAGCATTTAAACATTGTTAAAGATAACAATTTTTATTAATAAGAGACCTATTTTTATTAATCATTAGCGTAAAAAAACTTTAAGGATGTTGCTTCAACTCGTAATTCGTGAGTGCATGCCGTTATTCTGACATCAAAAATTTGTTTCAACTGATCTCCCACGTTGACGTTGATCGTGATCGAGCAATATTAAGAGAACGAGTGGTCTGTAATTTTCTCGAGCTTAACGGTGAGCAATGAAATAAGATGTGTTCGTTGTTCAGGTTTGCGAAATAAAAGTTATATGTGGACAGTCAGTATCTTTTTTTGATTGTTTTACTTATTAGAAAGTCGAAACTCTCTTTTAGACATTCCTTACAGTAAACGAAAAGATAACTTAACACTTTAAGTGAGACGGCATCGTTAATAGATCGTAATAATGTAAATATTGAAAACTGAAAACAGAAAAAATTTAACTTGTGTTTTACGATGTAATGACCTACGGGACATTGGCTATAATAATCGAATGCGTTCTTAACATATTATCAGTAATTAATATGAAAATATTGTCAAACATATATTTATTTACCTGAGCAGCTTCCCTGTTATCTGGTTGTGGCTGGCCATAACCGCCAGTGTAAGACCAGTCGCCAGTATTACGTTGCGTAGTCGGACCGATCTTCGCCCCTGATCCAGACCAGAACCAGCCGTTTACATTAGGAGGCTGCAAGTCTGGACGGTCGCAACCGGCAAAGTTGCATTTGCGACCCGATGTCCAAATGTATCGTACATTCCCACGGGCGATTCTTTGTTTAATAAATTCATTTTCCTGTTACAAACATTATGTATTATTTTTTTACGGAACAAGTTCTTTCATTATCTTAAATAATACATCGCATAACGTTAAAACTTACTCAAGCTAAGGGTTTTAAATATCATCACAGTATCTAATATTATTTATGAGATGATTACATATACATTTCATTATCAATCTATGTCGATAACATACAATATGATTTATGTTTTGATATAGCGCTACAATACGTCCTTTCCATAAACTTGTTTTCTTCAACCCAGAAAATAAGCCCACGGATAAGTAAACCGAGAGTTTGCCAATTAGCGGTTGGCGGCGTATTGACGATCGCAACAGGAAGTGCGCCATCGCTCGCGATTAATGCGAGAAGTGGGCGACGACACGGCCGGCAGGAATGTGTGCCGTGCGCCACTTGTCGAAACGAGTGCTTCTTTACCGACGAGAACTAACGCACCAGGCCATTGCACCCCTTTCACAGTCGCCTTCCACGCTCTACAAACCCAATCAGTCCAGTCTGCTATCCTAATACATATTGATGTTTAGCCATAATTGGATGCGCGTTCGCTTTGCGTCTATCGCCTTCTATTCTGGATAACGACATCGGAATATCTAATATTATTGTCAACGTAGTGCATAACATCAGGAACGTAAACTTGCAAACGCTTGCAGCAAGAAACGTATAAAGAAAACTTCTAATTTTTCCTTCTAGAAATGACACCCGGATGAGTGCTTATAACAATAGACACCTGGTTCACTTACGTGTTGACGGTTACAAAGAATGTGTACGTATCCATGAAAAAAGACATTGTTTCTTTATTAAAACACAATACGTCATAACGATTGTGCTTAATTATTTGTATTTATGCGGCTTTCATTACTAGTAATAATAAGTAATATCGAGTTAATAATGTTAAATATTCAGTTAAGTAATTTTGACTGTCTGATAATAGTTTCAGTTTATTATATGGCAGCAAATTGTATTTCTCGTGATGTTAATACATTAAGTGTATTTAATACATCATTTTTAAAACCTTTGTCATACGAATCGTCGGCTAAACTACAGGTCATATCCATAAGATACTTCTTGTATTTTACAATGAATCGAATAAGAATAAACTGATTTCAAATTAAAAAAAAAATCGTAATTAATTTGTGAAATCTTTAAAAAAGTTATACACTGAAAGTACCATTGAGAATATTGCAATGCTCTGTGTTATTCCTCACTCAGTAACAGATCGTGAATACTTTGGTAGAAAGTGGACCTCCGGTAGAGATTGGAATATTCCTCCTCGCCTTGTGGGTGTGTCTTTGTGCAATTACGTCATCGCTTAAAAACTTTACGAAAGTATTACATTCGTGTAAACAATCTTATTTGACTTTTATAGTAACTTTATACAATCGGTATACTCGTAACACGGCACTTTTCTATAAAACAAACTTTCTTTTTTAGAATATCTTAAAGAGACATTGTAATTGAGTATTAAAATAAGCTTTTATATAAGGCAATGTATGTACGTACACACGTACACACGTTGATGCGTTTAATGTAAACAAACAGAACGTTAAATGAACACTTAATGTGAAGTACGTATGTACGTGTTTATAAGTTTTGTTGCTAAGTGTCTATGTACGAGGACAAGTATTTATTTAATGTTCTGTTGGTTTACATGGAACAAAGAAGATGGATAGGTATCCATCTTATTGAAGAACCATAACTTTGCATATTTTAATGTAAATGCAATTATTGTTGAAATTGAGTGTTAGATTTTGTTTACCTGTGGGGTTTCCATAGATACTGTGTCCATGCAGTGCCGACGGCAAATATTCCTAGCGTCGAGCCAGTCTACCTCCAGGTTACGGGTAGGCGCATGTTCCCAGCTGAAGAAATAGGAGTGTAGAACGCCCCGTGCATCGCGATATGTTGAGTGACGGACTCCTGTTGACAATTATATGGTTTAGGTAATGTTCGAACTTTGAAATAAAAAAAATAGAACTTCCGATTCGGCGCTTAGCCTGTGACTGCTAATGTTTGTTCCTAAATGTATTGAAAAATAGATTAAATTTTTTTTTCAAATACTCATTGTACAATTCGAATCATATACCAATGCAAAACAATCGGCGAGATAAATGTTATTATTGATTGCTATACATATCTTTACATATATAAAAATGAATCCCTATTTCCCTTGGTCGCCATCACGCGTGAACGGCTGGACCGATTTCACTTTTTTTTGTTGTGTTTGTTATTATCAGGAGAAGGTTCTCATGAAAGAAAAAAAGTCTAAAAACAACATTTTTCTATATTTCCGTACAAAAAATTCGTAATAATACTCAAAAGTCAATTTGAACTTTAATACCATACCATAAAGTTTAAGTGTTAGTGGAGTTAAAACTACACAACGGACCTTGATGCGGGTTTTTTTACTAGATACAGTGAGTCAAGAGGAAGGTTCATATGTATAATACAGTGCACCCGTGCGAAGAATCTAATAAAAGATGACACAGAATCACTTGTCCTAGATACAATAGAATCATTACGAAATAATTTTACCTAAATGTTTTAGCGTTTTAGCAGTGCACAATAGAGAGCACGCATGTGCCGATTCCCACAACAGTATTTACGTGCCTATCGACCGAACAGTAATATCTGTTTAGGCCTTTTTGTTTAATGTTTTTACAATATGCTTTTTCGTTTCTCACTCATTTTTTTATTTGACAGACTTAGCTTACGCATGAATTTATTATTGGATGAAAACAATCAGCTAATCACTCGATAAAATCAAACAGTTCGTAGATACTAATGAATGCTTCTCACAGTTTGCCACGTGAAACGCTGTACATACGCTATAATTAGAACAAATTCATCACGGGTTCGTTTGTAAAATGCCTCTTTCATAACTAGAAAATGTTCACTATAATTCTAGCCTGCTTTTTGGGTTTTTTTAATTAACAATTTCTATGGTGCCGCCACCGGGATTAGAACTCAGGTTTCTCAAGTAAGTATATATTGAATTAAAAGCGAGCGCCCGGACAATGAGCTACCATGTATCAATCATGCTCATTTTCATTTACATTTATCATTGACGAGTGTCAAAGAGAAGTATACATAAAAATATATGCTTATTCAAAGCATTGGTATAAACTTTAAACTGATTATTACGTGTATAAAGGTAACATCAATGATGTAACACATCAATCCCATCATGCTCTCTAATAACTCATAAATTGCGTATGAAACTACGAGTGTATTGGACGTGCATCGTTAAAATTTTCCATTTCAATAGAGAAAGTTCTAAGCAAAATGCTGTTAAAATGGTTTCCCTTTTTCGACGAATGCCGACAAACATATTCATAAATTTGACGTGACGAGTTTTTAAACATGCAAAGTACTTAATTTTATATATTATGATGATTTTTGTTTTAAACAATTTAATTAACACATCAATAGTGATATTACATACTCGATAGCACGGGTACTCTTGAAGTTAATATTTATTTTTCACATAGCATAAAAATTGAACTTTACGATGGTCTGACGTCCTCAATCGGAGTTGATACTGTAATGTACAGCACAAATGCCACTGCGCAATCGAACATAATGTTATTTACGGCCTACATACGAAAACTTGTGTATATTCAAATAAACTGCAACAATAGGCCTTTATAGTAATTGTTTGGCTGATTGTGAATTGTGAACAACTGCCATTCCCACAAGAATCTACCCAAATCAGCTTCTTTGGACATATTATTCATACTCTATATATACATTACAAACTCCTACTTTAGTTTAAAGATTCAAATTGTTTTTCAATGTAAGCTATTCAAATTTATACGCGATTGAAAACGCGAAGGATTGCAATGATTAAAATATCTTGAAGTCGTTTCCTAAATAGGCAAAATTTTTATTTTTCTATATATGTATTTGTAAAGTTTGTGCATTAAATGTCACTGGATTTATTGACCTCCACTCCATTTGCCACTTAATGGATTATCTACTAGTCGAAAGGAGATTTATTATTTGTGATAATTCCTTTAAAAATAAACATCTGTGTAGATGTAGACGGATATAAGTTCAAAGTAAGGTAATGAGAAATATAAAAATATAATAAAAAAAGGTTTTAAACAAGATTATGTATGTTCAATTACAACATGTTTATAATTGTCACGGCAATTATTTGAAATATATGTAAGTTTTTCAATATACCGTATGTTATTTTAAATATATGTAAGTAATTCCATTTCATTTTTTCGTTACGTTTGTGTAAGTGTTATCGCTCTGTAGATAATTTCAATGCAATTTTTATCTCCGCGAGAGAGAACGTAACATCTTAGATGTGGGGTCATCAACTTTTGTTAGATAGACCAATTAGACTGCAAGGTGAGCCACCAGTTAGCTGCAGATAAGCAATTGCGTAAAAAAGGAATTGTAACTTGAGATCATGTGATCACCACGTAAGTGTGTCGAAGAAGCTCCTAGACCTTGGTTCAATGTGGCGAAATCATTATCATTTTCTCCATTTTTCTGCATTTAAGATACGTTAAACATTTTTGAATATTCATATCCTAATTACTAATTTTATTTATAATAATTATGTGCATAATGATAGATACAAATCTGGGGCTTGCACGTATGTAAACGACTTTTCACTAGCTAATTAGCTATTATCAAAGACAATAACATGTAGGTACCTATTTTGTACATCTTTATTTTAGTCGTAGAATTCAAAGTTGGTAGTTAAATTCATTCTAATGTACATACGCATTATGCGTCAGATAATTTTCATTAATATATAATTTATTTATTTCATAATATTAATAATTTTTAATAAAAGAATAATATAGAATGATGGTGTTTTAATTTCTTTCTCACACTTTTAATTCAGAATTTTCGAATTTATTAAAATTTATTTGATTTTGAATTTATTTGAAGTATGTTAAAAGCAGACCATATATTCACGTAAGTAACCGAGCTACCTCAATTTACATGTTCGAAAGAGCTTTTTCTTAGGGGATGTTAAACCAGTTTTATATCGACATCATCAACAAAATATTTTGATATTATACAAGTGTGTACAGATTTCTAATGCTATTAGAAGTTTAACAAAACGTTCTTTTTAGTTTTTGTTTACAGAAATTTGTGTACACTTTTATATCCCTATTTAGCGCAGTTGAAAAGCGACGTGTTGTAGCACTACGGGTCGCGGGTTCAATTAGTTAGTTCTCGCTATCTTGAATGTGTAAGTTGTCTTTTTTGTACATATACTACATGTAAAAAATTCCCTGTAAAGCAATAATTTTATCTATTGATTGATGTTTTCTTCAAATACAGGGGTAAAAACAATGTATCAAAATTATAAGTACTTGAAAAGAATTTGCAACCACAATAAGTTTAAATGAATGGTATACGTACTGTTAGCGCAGCTTCTTGGGTCAGGAAGGGCCAAGCGACGCTGGGCGTCGGCGAAACAAATCACGGCTAGCAGCACTGCGGCCGCCAGGCACAATTTACGACTCATCTATTTGAAACATAAAATTTTATAAAATAATTAAGTTGCCTATTAAACCTATGTCTTTGACATACATAAGTATTTATATATGGGGAAATAAATTTAAAAATTTTATCTACATTGAAAAACGTACTTAATATTTACGTAAAGCAAAAAGCAAGAAAGATGAACTGATCGAAATAGCATCGATCATTGACTGCTGTTAGTTTAACTTCCGAAGCAAAGCACAACTAACGCCGCATGCCTGTTCAAGACTCCGCTTTCTTTTATGTAGCCCCCTAACGCCTGAGGACAATCGATACGTGAGATGAATTTATTTCGTTGTATTTGTGAAAGCAAAACTTGCCGGGCTGACCTGCTTGTCGTGAGTTTAAGCGTTTACGTGAAAAGGTGTTGAGCGCGAGAAATCGTCGATTTGGGACGCGTTGGTAGGTACGGTAAGCGAAGTGTTGTAACGCAAAAATATAGTTTTTTGTTTGTACCTACTAAATAAAACAGTGTATAAATATGGTGCTGTATTGCTTTAACTAATCCGTTTCATGAATTTTACAGAAGTCGTGATAAGCTTCTCTGTTAAAGAATAACGGCGATATAAAAATGTGTTTGCGTCCCATTAAGATTTTTATAATCGATTTTTCGTTTGCGCTCTTAGTCAGCGATTTATTATTTGCGAAGATCACTTTATCGATGGAATACGACATTGGTCGTATTCGATCGTAGCGCGGGCGTACCTCTATATGCGGGTGCGTTGATGCGGTTCTTACGAGTGGTTCGTACGCACGAAAAGCGCGGGCTGTGAACGCGACGGTTACAGAGGAACTGGCGCTGCCGCTGCCGTCCTCTCTAATTAAGCCTCCGACATTCATTCACTTTCACTTCCAATGTAAGTGAAGACACCTTCCCCGCCTCCACTGCATAGAACTTAACAACTCCATAGAAGCGGAGGCCTTCTGGAGGTCGTAGCCGGATACCAATAACGATTTACATAACTTTTGTGTGAGCACGAACACACTAATCATATATACGTAAAAACAATTTCATTTAATTAATCAATAAATGCCGCTTAAATAACCTTAGAAACCAAGCTTACTTTTACCTTGTCTGTCAATCGAAGTGGATTCTCCTTCCTCTTTGCAATTGTTGAATATTGCATAAATCTCTTCAATATATGGTGGTTCAACGACTTCGTATAACTCTGGTGGTGTTTGAAACCTGTGAAAATTATATTCCGAAGAGTTTTAACATCCCTTAATTAATTATAGGACATTTTTTATTTAAAAAAAACCATTTATGATTTTTTTTTATTATAACCGGCGCCTACTTTATTAAAAGGTGGCAACGCATCTACAACCCTACGGATGTTGCAAATGTGCATGGGCGACCCTTTATTACTTAACATCAGGTGAATCGTCAGTTCCACCGCCTAACATAAAAAAGAAAATTTTTGTAAGTATATAAATAGTTATATACTTACAAAAATGTTGGAATTAAGTAGAAAATCATCACATTATTTATTAATATTGATTTGGCCATAATTACAGAAACAAATAGAAGTAAACAGATTTCATAAAGGTTCAATGATGATGCGAATAGCTGGATAAGATTAGTTAAATAATGCATAGGCTTTTATACATGTAAATATTAGACAACTAGGTTTAAAATAAGTATCGAGTCTTTAATAAACTTATCAAATACGTAACTTTAAGTGTTATAAAAATGTATAAGTCATCGTAAACTATTAAATTAAATTTAAGCAGCATAATAATAAGATGTGCAGAGCTTATGCAATCAGACAGGAGTCAGCTGTGCGAGGTCAGGCGTTCACTGATGCTTTAATTCACATAGAATATACGTAAGTGAAAGTTTCACATCGAATTTGTTAATGGCTTTTGTACTAATATCATTCAAATTTTTTGTAACACTAATTTTACAATAAGTTACGTATATAATGAAAACGTAATACTAAAAATAAAAAGACTACAAATTAATTGTCACTAAATTTAAATTTGATAATAACATTATTGTAAAGAAAAGTAAATTCAGGTCTTTCGTTATTGCAATAACGTCATTAAAACAAATCCTTTAAGCTAAAGATTAACACAAATTTTTGATATGTATAAATTTGATCTTCTATACTCTTTTGGTCGTATTCTTTACAAATATCAATCAAAATCTATAGGTATAAAAATATTCAATATTATTGTTGGGAAACAATGAGCAATAAATCTTATCCTACTATTCAGCTTATTATATTATTATGTAGGCACTAGCTTTTCGCCCGCGGCGCCACCCGCATGTACTACATTTTATATCGTGCTTAAAAAGTAGGCTTTAGCCTTCTCAATAAACCGGCTATCTAACAGTGCAAGAATTTTTCAAATCGGACTAGTGACCTAAGATAAGCGAGTTCAGACAAACAAACTGTATGGATATCTTCTTATTTTTGGCCGTCCCATCATTACTTAAAGAAGTTTGGTTTAAGGTCATTCTTACAGTACAAAAAAAAATGTATACATAATATTTTCGTAAATTTATAGCATTTTAATCTACACAATACCTTATTTTATCACATAAATGTTCAATATGTTTCTTTAAGTTGATATAATTTATTAATTTATGAATCGATTTAAAAAAAACTAGCACTAAATGTTAAGTGAAGCTTACTACAATGTATTAGTGAAAATTGCAACCAAATACGTTAAGCTGTTTTTTGAGATTTGTGGGGGGACAAACGCACAAACAAACAGACAAAATTTTTATGAATGAATGAATGAATGAATATACTTTTATTGCACACAAGGTAATACAAGGAAGAAGATACCGGAAACATAGTGTACAAACAGACGGCTTTATTGCTGGAGTAATTTCTTCCAGGCAACCTTATGGTATAGGATATAGATAATAAAGTTGCGGTATAATTGTGCAAAAATAATTACATTAATACATATGTAGAAAAATAACAAATACCTAATATAAATACTAATACTATAATATATATATATACATGCATACACATATATATATATATATAAAGAAAAGTGTTATTATGTATATATATATATATATATATATATATATATATATATATATATATATATATATATAATAACACTTTTCTCAAATATCTTCCATATACAGACAACGATCAGTGACATTTTTATTATATGTATAGAATAGATTTGTATTTTAAAAGTTTCGCATAATCTAGTCTAGTAAATACTGCAGTCTCGGTTACATCAGAATTCTTTTATTTACTGGCGTTGCGCATGAATCAATAAAATAAATTTGACGTTGACCAAATACTAGTTCGGATGATCCACTTCTCTTCAGAAATGGTTAGTTTTTTTGCAACGATTTGTGAATTAATGAACTTGTGAAAGAATAATAATTTGCCAGAAGTAAAAAATTTAAAGTATGTTTATTCAATGATACTATTTTACAACTTTGCGAGCCGTGATAGTTCAGTGTCCGGACGCTCGCCTTTAATTCAATATACTACTACTACTCAACTACTACTACTACTATTTATACTCGAGCAACCTGAGTTCGATCCCCGGTGCCGGCACCAATGAAGTTTTTAACTATAAGTGCTGACTTACCACGTGCTCCGCGGTGAAGGAAAACATCGTGAGGAAACCTGCAAACACTTTCGAACCATTTCGAAATAATAACAAAAAAGATATTTCGAAGATATTTGAAGTCCGCCAATCCGCAGTGGGGCCTATGCCCTGATACCCTCTGTATAGAGGAGGCCTTTGCCCAGCAGTGCGATCTCGCATATAAGTAACAGCCTATACATCTGTATAGGCTGTTACTTTACTATTTTACAACAACATGATAGCGTTTATTTTATGTATAAAATAAACCTAAGCCAGGGTTCCCGCCTTGGCGTTGCGGACGGGCTAAGTAACCGTGGCTTGATCACCCACGGCGAAGCTAAGAGGAACCCACACTGGGCCGGCTTGTGGTGTAAAGCCGGCCCGAAAAAGCCGCTTCGAGTGGGCTCATTGAGCCCTCTTTGGATGCGTGCTTGAGCGTGCAGGGGATAGGTTGAGGGTGGTAGAGGAGGAGCAACTCTTCCTGTCTTCTGCTACCGAGGTGGAGTCGCGGGGGAAGAGAAGTGGAGGGCCGGCCACGCAGCAGTATCGCCTGTTACACAAATGGGCAGGCTCGTTCGGGTAAGTTCCACGACCTCAATGAAGACTGGCGTAAAGTGGAAGTATAACACTTTCGCGTTTCGTCTGGTGAGTGAGGTAGCCAGAGCCCAATTTCCAAAAAGGTTGTCAACGCATCTGCAAACCCTCGGGTGTAGCAGATGTCTATGGGCGGCGGTATTCACTTAACATCAGGTGAACCGTCTGCTCGTTTGGCAACTTTTCACATAAAAAAAAATTGTAAAAAATATCGGTATATTGTTGTAGGTAGTCTTAGGAAATAATATCATAGTCTTAGCGGAAGTAAAGATAATCTACCCTCCTAAGATAATGTGTACAATTACGAAGTACAAATGTATGTGTAAAATAAACAGTCGTAACATAGATGCCGTTTTACTTGTACCTTATATTACTACATGGTGTCAGGTGTGGCAGATTAGTGTCAAAGTCAGTTGGTGTGCAATTTTAGTTACAATTGAGAGAATTAGACAATTTGGTGTTGTTACGAAAAAAAAATTGTGAAGGATGCCTAACAATAAAGATGAAAGTTTGTCGTATACTTCAATACAACAACCGTTGCCTTTAGCTCGGGAAGGCAACAGCAACAAATTGGCGGGAATGGAAATCGGCGTTTGACTATTTTCTAATCGCTTCTGGAAGAGAGACGGCCCCAGCAAGAGAGAAGTGTGCACTATTTATGCATGTTATCGGAAAACACGGTCGTGATATTTATGAGGAGTTAGACATAAATGAAACGGAAAACTATGATTTTAAAATATTATGTCAAAAATTTAACGAGCATTGCGATCCAAAAATAAATATTAACTACGAAAGGCATATATTTTTTGAAAGTTACCAGAATGATCAGTGTTTCGATAAATTCTTAGGCTTTTTGAAAATTAAAGCTAAAAACTGTGAATTTGGGTCATTGAAAAATAGTCTCATATTAACACAATTAATTCGTGGCCTCAAAGATGGACAAATGAGAGAGAAATTGTTGTCAAAGTCTTCTTTAACCCTAGAAGAGGCAAGCGGATGGTGCAGGGCTTCGGAAAGTGCAGGCGAGCAGGCCGTGGCTTGTAGTACACGGCAAACAAGTGCAGGCGCTGGCGATTGTGTGGAGTATGTGGTACAGGCGAGTGGTAGGCGCGCCCAAAGAGGTGGTATAGCGAGAAATGCAAACTGGACACGTGGCTATGAACGTGGACGGGTGGAGAATTATCGTGACCAACGTGAGGAGAAATGGAGACGCGCGGACAATCAATCTGACAACAGATTTCGTGCTAATAATAGCAATAAATGCGATAAGTGTAATTTGTGGCACAGTGTTCGTGGCAGGTGTCGAGCGTATGCAGTTAAATGTTATCGATGCGAAAAGATAGGACATTTTGCAAAGTGTTGTCGAGTGAAGTTTGCGCGGGAGTTGCAGGATGCAGGCTCTGACGATAAGGGTTATGAGGATTACGGTGAGGACAGTGAGGCAGACAATGGTGAGTTACTAATGTATAATATATCTATCGAGGCTTCAGACTGTAGCAACAAATCGTGGTATGCTGATATTATAGTTGATGGTGTGGTAGTAAAATTTAAATTGGACAGCGGTGCGGACGCTTCGGTAATGTCACTAGAGTGTTATAAAATGGTTGGCTTTAGTGTAAATAATTTTAAAAAATGTAATACTGTATTGCGAGAAATAAGTAAAAAAAGTTTACCCGTTGTTGGTTATTTCAATGCTTTATTGCAACATGGAGAATATTATAGTAATGAGAATATTTATGTATTAAATGTAAATTGCAACAACTTATTGAGTTTAAAGTCATGTATTAATTTAAAACTTTTGGCTAGAATTAATAATTTAACATTGTGCAACATAAATATAGATGAAGAAGTTTTTGAAGGTCTTGGTTGCATACCGTTTGTATGTAATATAATAACAGACCCGCGCATCCCGCCGGTAGTAAATGGTGCAAGAAAAATACCAATAAAATTACGTCCTAGATTAAAAGTTGAATTGAATAATATGGTGAAGATGGGCGTTATTAAAAAGGAGGACGGTCC